GGCCACCTGGGCACACTGCTGGCTCATATTTAGCCAGCTCTCCACCAGCACCCCCAGGGCCCTTTCTGCCTGGCAGGTTCCAGCCACTCCTGCCCCATCCTGGAGCACTGCCTGGGGCTGTTGTGCCCAAAGTGCAGGACCTGACTCTTGGCCTTGTAGAACCTCGTGCAGATGACCTTGGCCCTTTGACTCAGGCTGTCCAGTTGCTCTGCAGAGCCTCCTGACCCTCGAGCAGACCAGCACTCCCACTCCCACTCAGAACCTCGTGCAGATGACCTTGGCCCTTTGACTCAGGCTGTCCAGTTGCTCTGCAGAGCCTCCTGACCCTCGAGCAGACCAGCACTCCCACTCCCACTCACTTTGGGCTTGTCTGTGAGTGAACTTGATCCCCTCATCCAGGTCATTGGTAGAGATATTGAACAGGACTGGCCCCAGACACGAGCCCTGGGGACACCACTCCTGACTGGTCACCAACAGGATTTATCTGCATTCCCCACAACCCTCTGGGCTCACCCAGCCAGCCAGTTTTTAGCCCAGCCAAGAGCCCACCTGTCTGGGCCATGAGCCAGCAGCTTCTCCAGCAGGGTGCTGTGGGAGGTGGTGCCAGAGGCCTCACTGGAGTCCAGGCAGACAACACCCTCACCTTGCCCTCATCCACCAGACAGGTCACCTGCTCGTGGAGGGAGATCAGGCTGGTTAAACAGGACTTGCCCTTCATGAACCCGGTCCCAGGGTGTCCTGCCCTTGCCACGTGATTGCCCCTGAGGTAACTGTTCCATGGTCTTCCCTGGGACCAAGGTCAGGCTGCCAGGCCAGGAGTCCCCCAGATCCTTCTTGTGGATGGATGTCACATTGGCAAGTCTCCAGTTGACCAGGACCTCCCTGTTGACCAGGACTGATGATAAGTGATGGAGAGAGGCTGGAGAGAGGCTTGGCAAGCTCCTCCACAGCTCCCTCAGCACCCTCGGGTGGATCCCATCCAGCCCCAGAGACCTGGGAGTCTTCAGGCACAGCAGGTCCTTGACTGGCTCCTCCAGGGGGGAGAATACCCTGAGGAGAACTGCTCTGACTACTGAAGACTGAGGCAAAGGTGGCATCAGGTACCTCAGCCTTTTCCTTGCCCTTGGTGACAGTGTTTCTCCCCTGCATCCAGTAAGAGGTGGAGGTTCTCCCTGCCTCTCTTTGTGTTCATGTATTTGTAAAATCCTTTTTTTATTATCTTTTACAACAGTGGCCAGGTTGAGCCCCAGCTGGACTTTTGCCTTTCTGGTGTTCTCTCTGCATGACCTAACGTAGATCCCTGCACTCCTCTTGCAGTTTTGGGTCCTGGGTCAGAAGGTGTCTGTTAAAGCTCATAACTCTTTTGTCCCTCCTGTGGCAGCTATGGGGGAATGCTGAGTGCCTACATGAGGATGAAGTACCCAAACATTGTGGATGGGGCATTAGCTGCCAGTGCTCCTCTGTTGTCTGTGGCTGGCCTTGGAGACCCCACCCAGTTCTTCAGAGATGTCACAGCAGTGAGTAGCATCTCTTTTGGGGAACATTTTCTGCCTTTTAAGAAGGTGGGATTTTTTTCCTTTGTGTTTAAACAGGCATCCTGTCTTTGCAGCATCAGTTCTGGGTAAGGGATGCAATTAAATGGGAGCCCCTAAGGAAAAGCAGCAGCTGCAGATGTGATGGCTGAGCCCCCCTTGGGTATTTTATTCTTCAGATCCTCTCCCAAAATGCTGTATTTTGTATCAGTACCAATGACTCACAGCAGCTCCTGGGTCCTGAGAGGGCTGCATTTCAATGAAGAGCTCAGAAATCTTCACTAACTAAGAATATGCAAGGTGTCCTGCCTTCACTTAAAACCAACATTTAGATGTGGCTGTCACCTTTTGAGGACATAGGCCCCCCCTGAGGGTGGTGTTAGTTAGAACTGACTGACAATTAGTTGACAAGGACAGAAACGTGCTACTTGGAAGTACTGAAGCGTGGTGGTGGTGTCTGGTTTGCCTTTGTAGGACCAGCTGACACAAGTGGCTTTGCAGGAACTACTCATGGATGAAACTTGCTCTTATTCACATATAGGAAAACCTTATTTCCATGCAGAGACTTGCAGGACAGCATTACCAAGGAGGTGTGAGGAAGAGACTATCATATGAAAAGAAGCACAATAGCATTTGAAGCTCTCAAGTGTGTAAGAGAATAAAAGACATCTTGTCTTAAACTTACACATTTTATAAATACAAAATATGCCACCACATAATCATCTAACAGCAGGAA